GCAAGACTCCATCTCCCCCCAGAAAAAACACAAAACTCTATGTCACACTTACTATGTGCCAGGCAACAGCAATAGAAGCCCCATTAGGTACCTACCATGTGCCAGGCATCATGCCAAGGACTTCATACAATAACAGCAAATGCACTTATTTACAGCCACCTACTGTAGGTCAGACACGGTGCCAAGGGCTTCATAATAATTTATGGGAAATATGGTAAAAATTTTCTTATAGTAAAAGCATTTATTTACTGAACACTTGTGCTACCAGGGACCTAAAGCCCATCCCAAAGGCTTACTTCAACTAGGGCCATCCAATTGGCCTCACTTAAAAATAATGCCCATGTCTTGAGCACCTACTGTGTGCTAGATAGAATGTCAAGGGCTTTATCAAATAATAATAAAAGTGCCTGTTTACTGGACACCTACTGGTGTCAGGTACCAGGCTCAGGACTTCATAGCTCATATTGAGCACCTGCTGTGTGCCAAAATCTTTAAAGATCACAGCACTCCTGTGTTTAGTCCCGAATATGCACCTGGCACCACACTAAATCCACTACTGAGCCCATCAACGGCGAGTCTCATTTATCGAGCTCCACCATGGACTGGGTATGGTAATAGCTCTCTGAAGAGAAAAACAGCAGTTGTCATTTAAGCAGCACCTACTATGTGCCAGGCACTGTGCTAAAGGCTCTCAGAAAACAGTAGTCCCTGCATATTAAGCCCCTACTGTGTGCCAGGCACTGTGCTAAGGGCTTTATCAGAAAAGTTAATAGTCCCCATGTATTAAGCCCCTACTGCGCACCAGGCACTGTATTAAAGGCTTCATCAGAAAACAGTTAATAGTCCCCATGTATTAAGCCCCTACTGTGTACCAGGCACTGTGTTAAAGACTTCATCAGAAAACAGTAGTCGTCACCACATATTAACCACCTATTGTGTGCCAGGTACTGTGCTGGGGTTTATTGAAAAACAGTAAGTTTCCATACATTAAGCACCTACTATGTATTAGGCAACTCTACTAGGGGCCTTATGCAATGTTAATAATTTTCATTTTTTAAGCACCTACTGTGTGCCAAGCATTGTGCTAAGGGCTTTATTGGATAACTGTAATAGCACCTGGCATATTAAGCATCTACTGTGTGCCAGGCATTGCACTAAATACCTTATAGAAAAATAGTAATAGTTCTTATTTATTGAGCACCTACTATTTGCACACACTGTGCCAAGGGCTTTGCAAATAAGTGAATGTTTTCAGTAAAAACTGTAACCAACTCTATCCTACACCCTTTCAAAGTGATAATAGTGCCCATCTGAACACCTACTATGTGCCTCACACTTAGGCTGCCTCTTTATAGCAAGTGCCACTTATTGAGCACTTACTGTACGCCAGGCATTGTGCCAAGAGGTTTGCAGAACAGTAATTGTTGCCACCCATGTTTTGAGTACCTACTGTGCGCCTGACACTAGGCTAAGCTTGATATAAACTGCTAACAGCTTCCATTTACTGAGTGCCAACTAGGTGCCCAGCACTGTGCCAATCCATATGTAGATTAAAACAGTGGCTGCATTAGTGGGGCACCTACTGTGTGCCAGGCAGTATGTTAAGGTCTTTGCTAAATTACAGTGAGAGTTCCCGCATATTAAGGGGAACTGACTCTGTGTTAAAGGCGTATGAATCAGTAAGTATCTATGTGTTGCGTGCCTACTATGGCCAGATGCTGTGCTGAGGGCATTAGTGACAATAAGCTTCATCCTCTGCACGCCTACTGCAGGTGCAGCACCTAAGCCCATGTTGCATGCATTATCTCATTTAATGCACGCACTATCTCATTGAATTCTCACAATCCCTCAGGTGGTCAGAACTCTCACTCCCCACCTGCCACCCCATGTCAACAGTGGGGAAACCAGATTCCAAAGTCTTTGTCTGTTAGGCTTTCTACAGTCATTGGTTGTGTACCGACTGTGACCAGACCCCACCCTGGAAGCTTTTCATTATTTTGCATATCACCTCTCAATCTTGCCAAAAAGCCAGAAGTGCAGCCCATTTTACAGGTGAGGAAACTAAGGCTCAGAAACAGCAAGCTACCTGCCCAGGGGCAAGAAGTTATGAGGTGGCACAGCCAGGACTGGAACCCAGACTTGGCCGTGGTTCACAGGCTGGCTTGGTTTGAGGTTGGGAGCTCAGATCTCAGCCTTGTGCTGGTTGGGTATGGCGGGAGCCACATTCTCCCAAGTGCCCATGAGTTTAGAATCTACGTCTCCTGGAGGGAGGCCCAGAGAGATTACTGGCCTTGCTTGTGGCAAGAGCATTAGAAATCCTCACCATCAGAGCAGCTTGCTTGGTGGCTGAGCACGTGTTTACTGAGTACTTACTACGGACACTATCCTGCTAGTATCTGGAACCCAGAGATGAATCCTGTCCTCAAAGACACTGGGCTGCCAGAGACTGCAGAGGCCCCCGCAACAGCTTACTTCAACTAGAGAGACCCTCTGGCCTCACTTAAAGCAAAACATTAGAGGCCCCTTCTCCAAAACCAGACAAAGTGAACCCTTCCCCATTTCTTGACCAGCCACACCAACCAAAGGTGCCCAGGGGGGAATCAGGCAGGGAGCAGGGAAAAAACAAAAACAAAAAAACAAAACAATCAAGGAATGTGTCGGAAGGAATGGATTTGCTGAGAAAGGGGGAGGAAAAAATAAAACCGAAACCATAATAAAATAAGAAACAACAGTGATGGTGATGATGATGAGAAAAACCATAATAAAAGAAAGAAAGACTCCTTCCAGAAAACGCCCAGTCTCGTTACCTACCTTCCACTCTTCAACTGCTAACTTACAAGACTTTCTTACGAGAGGGAACGGCCGAGTGCTGAGCTACAAGGCCAGACCGAACTCTGGGTGGGTCTCAGGATGCCAGCGGCCCCCGCAGCCCTGCTCCAGCCCCCAGCGTGCACACACTGAGGTTCCAGGCAGGAGGCAGGAAGGTGGCACGGTGTCTGCGGAGACCCACGGCTGAGTGGTCTGACCTGCACCTACCCTGTGTTCAGCCTAAGGAGCCCGCAGTCCCTGGGGGGATGGATACGCCTGGCCCTGAGTCTTTGCTGTCGGTTCTCCTGGGCCCCACCCGTCTCGGGGCAAGAAGCGGGGAGTCCCTTCTCCCCAACTCCCTGTCCTGGGCCGCCCCAGAGGTTCGCGTGGCTGGGCCGAAGCCGCTTTCTAGGTGACCATGGAGGTCACGTCCTTCACAATCCGGCCCAACCTGCGTGACATCTTGGGAAGGCACACGTGCAGAGACGTGGATGTGCGTGCGCGGGCAGCGTGGCATGGTGGTGGCACGTGGTTTGGGAGAATTTCTGGGACCGAATTCGGGCGTGGACTGTCCGTTCAGCCCAGAGCGGCTGGGGCAGGTTGGGGGCACGCAGGGTGGGCCGTTTTTGTGAACCTGCTTGAGACCAGCGTATACTCACCTTCAGGACACCTCAGCCGGTCTCAGGTGGCTGCCCAAGCCACAGGCCACCCTCACTGACTCCACCTCACACAGACACGCCCAGACGCCTTGGAGCCGCCGGGTGCTCAGCTCGGCTCGGTTTGTGGGGAGCAGGAAGGAGGGAAGGGGACCGACGGGGGCAAGGGGGGTTGTGTCTCCGAGGCACCCCACCCTCCCCAATCCCAGCGGCTCAGATGCCCCAGCTGGAGTTGATGTTAATCCCTCGACTGACCCGAGATGCCCTTGTGTACACACACCCGGGGCGGGCCTTGAAGGTATGACCATCGTGACTGATTCCGGAAGAAAGCCTGGGGTGGCTACGTCGTGACTGACTGGGTGAGGGGAGGGAAGGGGGGAAGCAGGGGGAGGCCACGACAGGGAGACCACGCGGGTGGAGGCCACACCAGTGGAGGCCACGCTGGGCTGAGCTGGGCTGAGCGGAGCCAGGGAGGCGGGTGAGATGGGGAGACGGCAGACGTGGCCTGTCCAGCCCTGAGCTTGGAGAAGTCAGGGAGAGAGGGTGGCAGTGACCCACAGCCACCTGCCAGGTGAAGGGTGAGTCGCTCGAAACAGGGAGGCCGGGCCAGCACAGCAGAGAACTCCAGAGATTTGAGCCCCGAGTGGGGGCCTGCATGCCCCCACGAAACCTGGCATTAGCTCCGATTCCACCCCCGGGAACTGGGACTTCATCCTGGGGCTGGAGAGCCAAGGCTCCCTGCCCAGGGGAGGAAGGCCCATGGGGAAGGTGGGTTTGTCTCTGTGTCCTTTGCTGTCTCTGAGAATGATGGGGTGCAAGCTGTGACCACAGCCTCACAGTACCCCTCAAAATGCCTGGGAAATGGGCACATGGCCCTTCCATCAGCCCCCCACTCCAGGATGGAAAGAGGAGAAAGGCGGGCGGCGTGGCCCCAGAACCTCTCCTAGACCAGGGCCAAGATCAGCCACTTCTCCTTGACCCCGAGTCTCAACCTGGGTCACCAGGCCCAGGGGCTCAGACAACCCTGTGCTGAGACCCTCGCTGTGCTGATGGGGAAACTGAGGCACAGCACGGGTAGATTGATCCGAGGTCGGGGAGCAAAGCGGAGACAGGCCCGGAGGCGCCCCCCACCCACTGCAGCAGGCCCCGCCTGGGTCCATCCGCCAAGGGGCTGTCTGCGGCCAGGCCGTGGTCCCCCCCGCAGAGAAGGGCGGCCCCGCGAGACACCTACTGGACTGCAGCGTGCGCTGCCGCACCACGGGAGTGAAGGCGCCCAGGCCCTGCGGCGAGCGGGCCGCCAGGCGGAAGGCGTACTCCGTGTTGGGCTTCAGGTCCTCCACCACGTAAGAAGTCGTCGGGTCGAAGGTCCTTCCCACCTGGGGGCAGGGCAGAGAGGGACGGAGAGGGATGGGGGAGAGAGAGAGACAGAGAGAAACACAGGGGAGAGAGAGAGAGAGAGAGAGAGAGAGAGAAAGAGAGAGAGGGAGAGAGAGAGAGAGAGTGAGAGAGAAACAGAGGGGAGAGAGAGAGACAGAGAGAAACACAGGGGAGAGAGAGAGAGAGAGAGAGAGAAAGAGAGAGAGGGAGAGAGAGAGAGAGTGAGAGAGAAACAGAGGGGAGAGAGAGAGACAGAGAGAAACAGAGACGGGGTGGAGAGAGAGAGAGAGAGAGAGAGAAAGAGAGAGAGGGAGAGAGAGAGAGAGTGAGAGAGAAACAGAGGGGAGAGAGAGAGACAGAGAGAAACAGAGACGGGGTGGGGCAGACAGGGACAGAGAGGGATGGGGGAGAGACAGAGATAGAGACAGAAACAGAGGGGGAGAGAGAGAGACAGACAGAGATAAACAGAGACGGGTGGGGCAGAGAGGGATGGGGGCGAGAGAGAGAGAGAGAAACAGAGACAGGGTGGGATAGAGAGGGACAGAGAGGGATGGGGGAGAGAGAGTCAGAGACAGAGGGACACAGAATGCATGCATTATGGGCGGGTGGATTGATAAATGGGTACATGTATGGATTATAGATGGATGGATGGATGGATGGATGAATAGAGAGGTGGGCGGGTAAATGGATATATGAATTTATAAGAGTATGAATGTATGGATTATGGATGGATGGATGGATGAACAGGTGACAAAGATAGAGACAGAGAAACAAAGCAGAGGGACAGAGATAAATGGGAGAGACAGAGAAACAGGAGAGATACGGAGAGAGACAGAAACAGGAGAGAGATACAGAGACAGAGGAATAGAGAAATAGAGACAAGAAAGAGAGATAACAGAAATAGGGAGAGAGAGAGACAGAAAGAGAAATAGACAAGATAGAAACAGAGAGGGAGAGAGAGACAGACAGAGAAATGGAGGGGAGAGAGATTGACACAGGGACAGAGAAAGAGAGAAGAGAGAGAAATAGACAGAGATAGAGACAGAAATAGAGACAGAGATGGAAGAAACAGGTACAGAGATAGACAGAAAGAGAGGCAGAGAGACAGAAACAGAGACAGACGGAGATAGATGGAGAAGAAGAAAACAGATAAGAGAGACAGAAAAAGAAACAGAGACAGAGAGAGACAGAGACATAAACAGACAGAGACCCGGAGGGATGGAGAGTGAGCGTCAGAGGCACCGGTGAAGACAGACACACAGAGAAGCAGAGAGCGAGAGAGAGGGGGACGCCGGGACACACGGAGCCAGAGAGAGGCCACCAGCGGCAGAGGAGAAAGACAGGAGAAAAAAGTGGAGGGAAAGGCACAGAGGGACAGAGATGCAGGAGAACCAGAAGGGGTCAGGAAGAGCAGAATCCGCAGCACACACAGGGACAAAGATGGGGGAGAGATGGGTGGGCAGCGTCAGAGAGCACCGGGGAGGAGCCCAGGGCAGGCCAGCCCGTCCCCGCGCTGCCTCACCTCCCGGCCGTGGTCGCTTTCCCGGAAGAGGAGCTCGTACTTGATGATGCTCTCCTGCCGCGGGGGGCTCCAGGACAGCGTGATGCTGGTCTCCGACCTGGCCTCGGCCCGCAGGTTCATGGGCTGGCCGGGCACTGTGGGGGTGCGGGGAGACAACTAGGAGTGGGGGAGCGTCCACCCCGTGAAAGGGGCCCCACCTGCTGAGTGTCCCCACTAAAAAGCTTCCAGCTCTGGATGCTTCTAGAATGTTTTTTTATTTTCCTGGGGATCTAGCCCCCATCCCATTGTCACCTATCCACCTCCGTTCCTCCATCCTTTCTTCTTCCAAAGGAAAAGAACACATTTAAAAATCCACCCCCCCTTATTTATTTATTTTTTTTTGAGATGGAGTCTCACTCTGTTGCCCAGGCTGGAGTGCAGTGGCGCGATCTCGGCTCACTGCAACCTCCACCTCCAGGGTTCAAGTGATTCTCCTGCCTCAGTCTCCCAAATAGCTGGGATTACAGGCACCTGCCACCATGCCTGGCTAACTTTTGTATTTTTGGTAGAGACGGGGATTCACCATTTGACCAGGCTGGTCTCAAACTCCTGATCTCAAGTGATCCTCCTGCCTCGGCCTCCCAAAGTGCTGGGATTATAGGCGTGAGCCACCACACCCGGTCCAAAAATCTCCCTTTCAAATTACCCCAGTGCCTTCACTGCCTGCGCATTAGATGACAGAGAAATTAGCAGGGAGGTATGTGTGCATATTTTATTTCATTTTATTTTAGTTTTTGAAACAGGGTCTCACTCGTTCACCCAGGCTGGAGTGTAGTGGTGCGATCATAGCTCACTACAGCCTCCAACTCCTGGGCTCAGGTAATCCTCTCGCCTCAGCCTCCTAAGTAGCTGGGACCACAGGCAAGCACCATCATGCTCAGCTAATTTTTAGTTTTTTTGTGTGTACACATGGGGGTCTTGCTATGTTGCCCAGGCTGGTCTTGAACTCCTGGCTTCAGGCAATCCTCCTGCCTTGGCCTCCCAAAGTGTCAGGATTACAGGTGTGAGTCACAGTGCCTGGCCAAGGGTGCCTATTTTAAAATTTGGATCTCCATTCTGTATCCGCTCACAGACACAGCCAGTGCCAACGATCCCGGCCCTTTGCTTCAGCGGGTGCCTGAGTCTGCCCAGACTTTTGGTTTTGAAAGCCTGGGCCCTAAAGGAAAGGGTCAAACACCCTCAGAAAGCTGGGGTCCGCTGTGCCTAAATGCCTCTTCCAAGTCCTCCCACCTGAGCAGGGAGGGAGACTGGCCCACTGCCTTAGGGGTGAGGCAGTTTTCTTTTATTTTTGAGATGGAGTTTCACTCTTGGTGCCCAGGTTGCAGTGCAGTGGCGCGATCTCAGCTCACCGCAACCTCCGCCTCCTGGGTTGAAGTGATGCACCTGCCTCAGCCTCTTGAGTAGCTGGGATTATAGGCACGCGCTATCATGCCTGGCTAATTTTGTATTTTTAGGAGAGACGGGGTTTCACCATATTGGCCAGGCTGGTCTTGAACTCCTGACCTCGTGATCTGCCCGCCTTGGCCTCCGAAAGTGCTGGGATTACAGGTGTGAGCCACCACGCTGAGCCAGCAGTTTTCATTTATTATTTCAGAAGCAGTGGCATAGGTCCCTCTAATGAGAACGGCAGACGAGGGGGGCTCTCAAACTCAAATGCCAACAGGGGCAGGGAGTTAACAGAGAAGAGAGAAGGAAGCACATAAGCCCTCCTTGTCTCCCACACAGTCACTGGAATCTACCTGTGTGTTTGATCATAGCCCTTTGGGCTTGTCAAATCAGGTTTTTTTAAGGGGAATCAAAAATTTGGCTAAGATAACTCTCCGATTTTATTTTATTATTATTTTTTGAGACAGGGTCTCGCTCTGTCGCCCAGGCTGGAGGGCAGTGGCGATATTTCAGCTCACTGCAACCTCCGCCTCCCGAGTTCAAGCGATTCTCCTGCCTCAGTCTCCTGAGTATCTGGAACTACAGGCGTGTGCCACCACGACTGGCTAATTTTTGTATTTATTTATTTTTTTAGTAGAGATGAGGTTTCGTCATGTTGGCTAGGCTGTTCTCAAACCCCTGACCTCAGGTGATCCACCTGCCTCAGCCTCCCAAAGTGGTGGGATTACAGGTGTGAGTCATCACACCCAGCCCTCTCCAATTTTATTTTAATGTTTGTTTTTGTTTTAGAGACAAAGTCTTGTATGATAGTGGTACTATCATAGCTCACTGTAACCTTGAACTCCTGGGCTCAAGTGATCCTCCCATCTCAGTCTCTTGAGTAGCTGGGACTACAGGTGTGCACCACCATGCCTAGCTAATTTTTAATTTTTTTTTTTTTTTTTTTTGTAGAGATGGGGTCTGGCTACATTGCCGAGGCTGGTCTTGAACTCCTGGCCTCAAGAAATTCTCCTATCTTGGCCTCCCAAAGTGCTGGGATTACAGACATGAGCCACTATACCTGGCCCTACATATGTTTCTTAAGAAATAGGGTCTTGCTATATTATCCAGGCTGGACTCAAACTGCCGGGCTCAAGCCATCCTCCTGCCTCTGCCTCTTGAGTAGCTGGGACTACAGGCACATGCCACTAAGCCTGGCTAGCTCTCTGATTTTGTTTTTTTTAATTTTTTAAATTTTTTTATTTTTTTGAGACAGCATGTCATTCGTCGCCCAGTCTGGATGCAATGGCATGATCTTGGCTCATAGAAAACTCCACCTCCCAGGTTCAAGTGATTTTCCCGCCTTAGCCTCCAGAGAAGCTGGGATTACAGGCGCCCGCCACCATGCCCAGCTAATTTTTTTTTTGTATTATTAACAGAAATGGGGTTTCACCATGTTGGCCAGGCTGGTCTTGAACTCCTGACCTCAGGTGATCCGCCCGCCTCGAACTCCTGACCTCAGGTAATCTGCTTGCCTCTGCCTCCCAAAACGCTGAAGTTACAGGTGTGAGCTACCGCGCCTGGCCTAGCTCCCTGATTTTAAATGCTAGCATGGAAAGAAAAAAAATAAATGTATATATATATATGCACATTTAAAAAAGAAATTTTTTTTGTTTTGAGATGGGAGTCTCATTCTCTCGCCCAGGCTGGAGTGCATGGTGTGATCTCGGCTCCCTGCAACCTCCGCCTCCAGGGTTCAAGCGATTCTCCTGCCTCAGCCTCCCAAGTAGTGGGGATTACAAGCACGGGTCACCACGCCTGGCTAATTTTTATATTTTTAGGAGAGACGGGGTTTCACCATGTTGGCCAGGCTGGTCTTGAACTCCTGACCTCAGGTGATCCGCCCGCCTCGGCCTCCCAAAGTGCTGAGATTACAGGCGTGAGCCACCGCACCCGGCCTAAATGCTAACATGAAAATATCTGAAAGCACCGTGCAGAACCCACAAACCACTCTGCGGCTTCCAGGGAGCATGCAAAGAGTCAAGCCGCACGGCCGGGGCCCCGAGTCCTGCCAACCCCACGCCTCACCTCCCTGCTGCGTCTTGACCTGGATGGGGTCCGAGAGGGGCCCGTCGCCGACGGAGGTGAAGGCGAGCACCCGTACGGTGTAGGTCTCGTCCTCCAGCAAGCTGCCCACGGTGGTCAGCAGGCTGTCGTCCACGTTGTGCTTCTGCCAGTTGCCCACGGGGTGCTCCGGCTCCATGGTGTAGTACACACGGTAGCCACGAATCAGCCCGTTGGGCTCCACCGGCTCCTCCCACTGCACGATCATGGTAGTGGCGCTGAGCATCCGGGCTTGCACGTTTCGCGGCGCGCTGGCCGGGGCTTGCTCGCCCGTGCGGGTGACCACGGACTCGCTGGGGGGCCCCTGGCCGATGGAATTGACAGCCGACACCCAGATCTCGTACTCCGAGTTGGGGCTCAGACCGCCAATGCTGTAGCGTGTGGTGGTAATGTCCTCTTTAATCTGATATGGCCCGTCCTGGCTCTTGGATTTATATTCGATGACGTAATAGGATACAGGGTCTGGGTTGCCCGAGTCCCACGTGATGGTGATGCTGGTGGCTGTGTTTTCGGTCACCACGGGAGTCCCGGGAGCTTTGGGAAGAGCTGTGGGCAGGAGGCAGCTGTGTCATGTGTTGGGTACATTGGTTGAGGACCTTGATGGCTGTGTGACTTTCACCATTCAATTGCCTTCTCTGAACCTTGATTTGCCCAGCAGTAACCATGGGCCTCATGACCCCTGTCATCACCTATGTGGCAAATTATGGCCCAGGGGCCACCTAGTACCCATTTTCTTTCTTTCTTTTCTTTTCTTTTTTTTTTTTTGACAGAGCAAGGCTCCGTCAAAGGTTGCCTGGATCTCAGCTCACTGCAACCTCCATCTCCTGGGTTCAAGTGATTCTCCTACCTCAGCCTCCCCAGTAACTGGGATTACAGATGCCTGCCACCATGCCCAGGTAATTTTTTTTTTTTTTTTTGTATTTTTAGTAGACAGGGTTTCACCATGTCAGCTAGGCTG